AATCTTGTTGAGGAGGGGGGGCGAGACGTAAAAGGTTGCATTTCTCTCTTCATCGGTGAATAATAACGGCGTAACCAGCGGGCGGTGCCTCGGAGGGCGTTAAATACAGGTGGAGGAGCAATCGCGTATCGCGAAAACGTGGCGCTGGCCGTGGCCGCTATCAACCACTGCCACCCGTGGCGGTTAGCTGCGAAAGAAGGAAGATAAATTTCAAACGAGAGAAAAAAAAAAAGAAAGAGAGGAAGAAAGAAAGAAAGAAAGAGAAAAGGAAAAAAATAGAAGACGAAAGGAAAACCGCCGTCGGGGCCGGTGGTTAAAATACATCGGTCTTTCGTCCTATCCCCTTTCGTCTTCCTCACCCCTCCCCCGATTTACTCCGTAAATCGTCGCTACGGGTATACTTCACGCCCGGCGAAAATTATCGTACACCCGTAATTTCGGTGAAAGGTATGCGCCAATCTTTTCGCGGTAACGAGAAAAATTGTTCGAGAGAGGAATAATAATGAATTGATAAGGATTTCTGTTCACGGGGATCTTTCGATCTCAGGCCCTTAGAGATTCGTTTGGTTCGAAAAATATCATCTTCGTGTTCGTTCATTGCGATGTAATCGTGTTAATCTTTTGTTCGATGTTAAATGGATAAATGATGGAAAATTTATTCAATTGTAGCTGAAATGAATTGAACGAACCGAAGAATGGTATGTTATATCGCGCGAGAAATCGCGATGATTTTGATGTCACGAAATTTAAAACATCGCACTAAATAACAAAAAGTTTTTTATGAAGTTTTATTTTTCAAAGTACAATCCTACAATCCTGTATGAAAAATTCAACGGAATTTTTTTTTTCAAATTCAAATTTTGTTCCTTGTTTATTTTTTTTTTGTTTTTTCTCTTTTTTTTTAATCGTTCGTACAGAATGCCAAACCAGAAACAACAAATGTAATGTGCATAAAGAAAAAAAAAAAAAGAGAAAAAAAAGAAAACAAGCATCCCATACTTTTCCAAAAATTTCCACAATTCGTTTCAACAACTCGCGCAAAAGCAAGAAACAAGAACATTTCTCATCGAGCCACGTTTCGCAAATTCGATACGATTCCACGGTGCTAAAATATCGAAACGATTCAATGGAGAGCGACCTACGCTCACCACCGTTCGAACAATCAGGCCATCAGCGACATCAATCTCTCCTTTGGTGGGACAATACATCGTATAACTTGTCTTGCATAAAAGCTCGCATAAAATTCGAATATATTAGGCGAACTCGCATTAATATTTAATGGGTGGCGGCGTGTTGCGCTTGCTTTCTTTTTTTTTTTTTTTTTTTCTAACGCGTAACATTATCTACGCGTAAACACGGTGAAATATGGGCGACTGTGGAAGGGTGACTCGCACGCCTTATTCTCGCGGATAACAGGCACGTTTTATGGCGATGCGTCGGCGGCGACCACTTAAGAAACGGCCTTACCGTACGCTCGAACGCTCGGACGCGGTGAAAGGATGTTTTAATTTACAGGCTGCCGCTAATGCGCCGGGTGTCGCGAGGATCAAGCTCGTTCATTAACATGCAATCGTTGCCCGCCGAGAATAAATTTCGCCTCGATCCTCTACCCTCTAACCGATTGTTTATTACGGCGGAATTCAATTTTGCAAAGCTCACCGCGATTACCTGTCCCCCTCCACGCCTTTAGAATAGAAATTGATTCATCAAACTTGCAAAGTCGCGGGATATCGGTTTTTATATATATATATATGTATGTATGTATCATTAATCTCTTTTCCCGTGCTATTAGTATACGAGGTTAACCGAGTGGTAAATTGGGAATAAGTGTTACGCGACTATGGGATGAATTATTCCTTTGTGTCTCTTAATTCGAGGCCTCGTAAATATTCAAAAAAGTGTATATACGTATTCTTGACAATTCGTAAGTTATACGATTCCATTTGAATACTTTTATATACATATATTCTTATATATTTAATTTTCAAATTGGATTGTAGGTGTTAGATGAGGATGATAATTAGAATATTTAACAAGTCTCGTTTTAACGAGAATATCAAAGAAATCGATAATGATAATTGGATAATGGAAAGGGATCGAAGATGCCTATTTTTAGGTTGCCGACATCTGCCTTGTCGTCACCTGACCAATGAACCGTTGCACAAGGAATCGAAATTAACTTACAATTGGCTAAATTCTTGAAAACGGAGAAAGGAAAGGTTGGCTGGTGAGGGTGAAATAGGATTCAAAATAGGATTCGGGGAGAGGTGTCGAGGTGCATTATAGAGGAGAACTTCGTCGAATCGTTATTGAGCTTTCTTCTAGACTTTCGTCTCGGAGTCGTCGACTACCATTTTCTTTAACTTGCCCGGGATCGCGCACTTCCCTTTCTCCGACCTGTGGAAAACTTTCTTAATTCATGCTTCCTCGCCCGTCCGCGTCAAAACGCCAATCCTCGTGAGAGCCTTCCGTCGTTCCAGCTCCTCCTTCAATCGTCAAATTTTTGCCTACTCCCGAGATAACCGCGTGAAACATCTCTGATTGCAGAACAAATTAATTTCAATTACCGTGAGAATGAAAATCAACGAAACTTTTTCTTCATTCGACGGATGATTATCATAACGAAAGTATGTATAAATTTCCAGCATCTACGAGACACGTTAAAAAGAAATGTCTTCCTGACTCCTAGGAAGATCCTGGTAAAGTTATGACCGATTCGTACAAGGTGTGTCCGTTTTTAAAAGAAGAAGAGGAAGAAGAAGAAGAAGCCATGCATCTTCCGCTTAATAGAGCCAGAGTGTTTCCAACGTAACTCCCTTCGATCAATTTATTACACTCACTCAACTCACTCGCTACGACGTTCCTCTTCTACGTTTTGCACGTTTTGGATCGGTCGCAGCTCGCTTCCTCGCCGGCTGTTCGTTGACCGCGTTCACCGGTTACCGCACCTGATCGCCGATTTATTTCCATTCCTCTCTCCCCGCGATTCTGACCTCTTTATTCGAAGAAAGCCGAGTCCACCAACGCCTCTCTATACAGCGTTTCATAATTTCGGAATTTCTTTCCTCTCTCTCTCTCTCTCTCTCGAT